CCAACCAAATTTTCCAATTTTTCCACTGCCACTTTTTAAGTTCTCCCTCTACCATTGTCTTCTTATTGTTTATGTGTCATTTAAGTTGCAAAATTTTTTATTTTTATTTTTATTTTTTTAATGCGCCATTAAAGACGCTTAATGTGACATTTCAATCAATCAACGGTAATGACAGTTAAGTTGTCAAACGTTTCTTTTTTACTTCCGTAAATATATTTCTCTTTCCTTCCTTTACTCAGCGCGAAAATTTCCGTGAGTAATGTGCGTTTAAATTACTTTTAAATGCAAATTTCGCCATTAAAAATTGTCAAGGAAATGAAGCTGGAGCCTAATATCAGCCAAGTGGAGACACAGTGATGCCAAGTGCTTCTACACTTGATCTCTCCAGCGGAAATTTTCCTATTTCTCTGCATACACCGGCGCGAAATAGAGGTATCTCCTTTTCTTTCTCACCCGTTTCTTCGAGGACTTGGCCTAGGGTGAATATCTGGCCTGTATTGGGTCGAGCAGGTCTAAAGCCACACAATAAAATCCAAACAGTCCGCTGACGAAAGGCTTTCATGTATCACATGGAGCTTAACTTATGCAGTGTAGTCTTCTTAAGTTCCAATCGTAGGTGGCTAATGTTTTCACCTTTTCAATTCTTCGCCGGCATACTTGAATCGCTCGTCCAGCAAGCCATTCGCTGCCGCCGCATTGGTACTCTTCAGTAATGCAATCGCTGTTGGAACTTCATTATAGTCCGGGTGTTGCTCTTCCACTGTCTTTCAGCAAGCTGATCGTATATATCGACCAAGGCCAACCCATCGGAAGTCGACATCGTCCACGTTTCTGTAAGATATAGCAGTACAAGAATGATTAGGAAATGATGAGTAGAGTTTGGTCTTCGTTCGTTGAGAAAAGACTTATCTTTTCGATTCCCCATTCAATCTCAAGTAGCTTTTCAAGGCTGACTTTATTATTGGGGTTAATGCTAGTCTCTAGATAGACGAAATTATCCACATCCTCGAAGTTGTCCCTGTCAACAGTGACGTAAGAGCCGAGTCGCGAGTGTAATGACTGTTTGTGTGATGACACCACCGGACACATTTACTTCGCTTCTTTGTTGAGTGAGGAAAAAGTAGGTGTTGACGGCCTATGCTATCGATGGATGAAAATAGACTTATGAGGAGTTATTATGTCATCTCAGAAATACACTCCGAAAAACTCTAGGGAAAACGAACCAAGAATTATTGTCAACAAAAGTTGAATCCTGAGACAAATTAATGCGCGGCGCCGAAATGTATGCAACAAATTTGACTATAAATGTTGCAAATGTAGGAAAAGATACATTTAATTGCTTAAGATAAAGGCGAGTGCGCATAAAGAAAAAGACGATATTGTCAAAGACAGATGAATACTACATATGTATAAACATACATACACATATATGTATAGGCAACAATTAATATGCCCATGCTTATCATATATATCTTACAATTATACCGTCAACTCACCATTACTCTACACAAGTTTGTAAATATATTTATATGTTTTTGACTTTTTGACATTTGAATTGTAAAATTTTACATGTCAACGCATTCGCTAAATATCCTCCGTAGACAGCAATGCTTATCCTTTTGGTAATGTTTTTTTCTTCTTTTTTTTGAATCTCCCCCCACTCATACTTGGTGCACACACACCACCATTGCATATTCATAGACATGAAATTATTATGCAAAGTTGTTGTTGCATGTAGGTATGTATGTATGTATACATATTATTTAAGATGTCATAATTAATATGCCCTTGCATGTATATATACATAAGTATGTGTGTATGTGTGTGTTTTACATGCATTTTATGCTTCATAAACTCACATTAGTTTGAGTTTGAGGTCCAACTAACCGACTAAACAGCCGCCTTGTCTTCTGTACGCAAAGTATTTGTTCCACTTGAGCGAAAAATTCAAATGTTCTTACAGTGAACTCCTTGTGGAGCGTTGAATGTGGTGTTGGGTGGTGAGTTCGGCTGGCTGTGAGTGAGCTTTCCAGAAAGATAAACAAAAAAGTAGAAAGAAAGTATGCCTATAAGAAGAATTTCTTTTGTATTTTTCGCATTGTTTTCAAAATTTATTGTTTTTTATCCTTACAGTTGTAGCTACATATGTATGTATGTGTGTTTCTGTCATGTGTGTGTGTGCTGGAGAGGGAAGTACCAATGTTTACCTTGTAAAAATTCCAATCCACACGCCGCCACTGAATATATGCAATATATATATATATATGTATGTGTGTGTGTGCTTGCTGCTTGCTGGTCGTCTTGTAAGATAACGGTCTACATATTTTACTACTTTATGCATACAACTTTTCTGCGCTCGCTTATTTATTTAATTTACATATCATATGTACATAGATACGCTCCGCTCTGTAGGTATGTCTTTTCACATATCCTTTAATTGTTCTTAGCATATACATACTCCCGTTATTTGCAATAAAAATGCGGCATATCTGAGCTCAAGTATGATTTGGAATGCCTTACAAGTCACACTAATATTGTTGCTGTCTATTGTGTTGTTGTTCTTATGCATTTGTGTCGCTTTCGCGTTGAGTCGTTAATTTGTGAAATCACGTAAAAGGAAAATTTATCTGTGAAAGTTCATTAGGCGTGCCATTAATTCTTCGCAATTTTATTTCTTTGTCTTTGTCTTTTATGTTTTTTTTTTTTTAATTTTTTTTTTTTTAATTTTCCATTATATTCTTACATGCGCCTATAAGACAGCTAATCAAACAATGGCATGATGTGTGAGAGTATGATATGTGTCTTGCGTAGTAATAATAATACTTTTTGCTTGTCTTTTCGGTTTTAATTTTTTTTTGTTTTGACTCTTTACTCTTTGGGGCAATTATTAGCTGGTTGCTGCTGCTGCTGGTGGTGGGAGTGCAAATTTGCATTTTATAGACTTTCGCTTATCTGTTTATTATTTTTCACCAGCGTTTTTATTGCCATACTCACTCCATGTCTAAGTTTGCATGGAATTTTTAAGTCGCTGGGGGGGGTTGGCCAGATATGTATGTATATAAAAATGCTTGAGTCACATTTTGTTAACATATTTGTTGTTATGTTCTCAAATTTTCAGCATTTTTAATTAATTTATTTTAGTTTAATTTAATTTGGTTTTATTTTATTTTGATTTAGTTTTGATTTTATTTTATCGAATTTTGTTTTGTTATTTCATTTTATTTGAATACATTTTCTTTTGACTTTATACAATAAATTTCTATAAATCTATTTTTTCATTTCTTTTATCTTTGATTTTATTACATTATATATTTAATTTATATATTTTATTTTGTTTTTTTTTTATTTTATTTATTTTATATTCTTCTATTATATTTTGTTAATTTTTTTACATTGTATTTTTTATGTTATATTATCTATTTTATTTTCTTTTATTTTATATTCTATTATTTCATTTTATTTTAATACATTTTCTTTTTTTTTATTTTGTTTTTAATTTTATTTACTTTATTTTATTCTATTAAATTTTGTTTTATTACATTTTATTTTTATTCTATATTATTTTATTTCCTTTTATTTTATTTTTGTTTAATTTCATTTCCCTTTATTTTATTTATGACTTTATTTATGTTTTGATATTTAATTACTTTTTATTTTTATTCTATATTATTTTATTTTCCTTTATTTTATTATTTCATTTTATATTATTTTTAATTTTATTTATTTTATTTCCTTTTACTTAATTTTTGATTTTATTTTATTTTCTATTGTTTTATTATTTAATTTTTGATTCTATTTTATTTTCCATTATTTTATTTTTGATTTCATTTCATTATTTCATTTTAATTTAATAAATTTTATTATTAATTTATTTTATTTGTAATTTTATTTATTTTATATTAATTTATTAAATTTTGTTTTATTATTTTTTTCATTTGATTTCTGCTCTATATTATTTTATTTATTATGATTTTATTTTATTATATTTTCTTACCTTTTATCTTATTTTATTTTACTATATTTTATTCTATTCTATTTTATTATAATTTATTTTATTTATTTCCTTTCATTTTATTTTTAATTTTATTTGGCTTATATAATTCTATAAAATTTTTTTGATTATTTTATTAGATTTTATTGTTATTCTCTTTTATTTTGTTTCCTTTTATTTTATTTTATTTAATTTTCTATTTCTTATTTTGATACTTTTTGGTTTTCTATTATTTTATTTTTTCATTTTAATTTAATACATCTAATTATTATTTTATTTTATTTTCTTTTATCCTTAATTTTATTTATTTTATATTATTTTAATAATTTTTTTTATTATTTTATTTCATTTTATTTCTGCTCTATATTATTTTATTTACTTTGATTTTATATTACTTTATTTTCTCTTTTTTATCTTATTTTATTTTATTTTACTATATTTTATTCTATTCTATTTTATTATATTTTTCATATTATTTTAATATAATTTTTTTTTATTTTATTTCCTTTCATTTTATTTTTTATTTTATTTGCTTTATATAATTCTATTAAATTTTGTTTTGTTTTTTATTAGATTTTATTGTTATTCTATTGTGTTTTGTTTCCTTTTATTTTATTTTTATTATTTTAATTCCTCTTATTTTATTTTATTTAATTTTTTATTTCTTATGTTTGATTTCATTTGATTTTCTATTATTTTATTATTTCATTTTATTTTAATTAATTAATTGTATTTTATTTTTGATTTTATTTAATTTCATGTAATTTTATTAAATTTTGTATTTTTATTACTGTTTTTTCTACTCTTATTTTTATTTTATTTCCTTTTATTTCTATATCTTAATTTTATTTTACTTCTTTTCTAAATTATTTTATTTGTTATTTTTATTTCATTTGGCTTAATTTTATTGTTTCTTATTTAAACCATCATAAACTTCATTGCCTTCCTTTAGAACAAAATACTTAAAAGAGCTTCAAAATTCAAGCCTTCCTCTCCTCTCCTTTTACAGAGTCTCGTACCATCGGTGCCGCAAAGTTTCCAAGTCGAACGTGTTGTCGCCTCGACAGAAGGCTCACTCATAGCACTAGCCGGCGCCAGAGGTGTCACCGTGCTAGAGTTGCCACGCCGTTGGGGCAGAGATGGGCTCTTCATGGAGGGCAAAGAGAAAATCACATGTCGGTAAGTCGCAAGCAAAGAAAATAAATAAAGTATTCATACACACATACATACATTACATATATAAAGTACAAATCAAAACAGAATTAAATTATAAGTGCAAACAAATTTGTAATGCAAATGCGCGTGACAGCAATTAAAGTGACGACTACAACGCATCTACGACCAACTACGAGTACGAACGACACCTCAGCAAGTCAGCTAAGCCGCATATTAAAATGCCATTAAAGGTCGCAGGAGCATAAAAAAAAAAACAAAAACAAAAAAAAATCAAAAACATGTGGCATCAACGAGAGTCAAAAGAAAAAAAGCAGAATAAATATTGTCATAACTCAAGCTTAAAATTAAAATTACCTTTTAAAATCTCGTCGTGAGTACGGTAGAATGTGAGCGGCAGGCTCTACGCATTGTAATGCGACAAGAAATCCAGCTGTAAGCGAAAACTTCTTTCAAAACAAAAAAAGAAAAAAGTTCGAAAAACTTAAAAGTAAATGATAAACTGCATTAAGCGCAACATTTTGTGCAATGGAAAAGGAAAAGTTTCCAAAATCCAGCTCCAAGAGCGAGCTGTGTGCACACCTTCGCCGACTGTGTCGTATGCCAACTTTGATTCTTCCGGCTGCCACAAAATCACTCGGCGTTTACCTGCGCTTGTATATATTTGTGTGTGCGTGTGTGTGTAGCCGCTAAGCTGCTACCAAAAAAGCCATTATTATAATTTCATAGCTTAAAAAAAAAATATGTACAAAAATGTATACAACGCCAGAAAGTATGCAACGCCACCTAACTAACTGCTCAAAGGAATTCACTTGACTGCGTCGTGCTGTACGATAAACGTGTAAAATGTGCCACGTTAAGCACATCTGTTTTTTATTACTTTTAATTTGCCATTAATAAAGCATTTTTTATACCGTAGATGGCATACCAATTTGTTGCTTCTCAACTAATTTCTATAATTTCTCGCATACTCTCAAGCTATATATATTTTTTTTAACATTAACTTATATTGGGCAATTTGTATGTGTATAGCCATTTCGATAGCTATCGTCCATTCACTGACAGTTTGCTTTTTTGCTTTGCTTCAGGTAACACTCTGGTCGCGTGCTCGCGCCCAAATGTAGGCAATTAAATGGTTTTAAATATTGCTTGCCGTGCGATTATGGGTAATATGTCAATAATATTGTCAGTTTTATGACTATAATACACAGAAGTTATCCAATTTGATGATTTTTTTAAGGTATGAGCTAGTGTCTTGGAATATATTAGTGGGTGTTTTAATCTTAGTATTATTGAAAGTTTGAAAATTTATGCATTTAAATGGTTTGCTACGGAAAGTCGGCGGCAGGATTTTCTATACGCCTATGCTATGCATCGAAATGATAATTTGAGCTTTGAAAAGAGAAAGAGAGAAAAAAAGGAGGAAGAGAGAGAGAGAGATAAAAAGAAAGAGATAAATAGAGAAAGAGAGAGATAAAGAGAAAGAGAGAGATAAAGAGAAAGATAAAGATAAACAGAAAGAGAGAGATAAAAGAAAGAGAGAGATAAAGAGAAAGGAGAGATAAAGAGAAAGAGAGAGATAAAGAGAAAGATAAAGATAAACAGAAAGAGAGAGATAAAAGAAAGAGAGAGATAAAGAGAAAGAGAGAGAGAAAGATAAAGATAAAGAGATAGATAAAGAGAAAGATAGAGATAAAGAGAAAGATAAAGAGAAAGAGAGAGATAAAAAGAAAGAGAGAGATAAAGAGAAAGAGAGAGAGAAAGAGAGATAAATTGAAAAAGAGAGGGAGAGAGAGAGAGAAAAAGGGAGAGAAAGAGAGAGATAGAGAAAAAGAAATAGAAAGAAAAAGAGAGAGAAAGAGAAATAGAAAGAAAAAGAGAGAGAAAGAGAAACAGAAAGAGAAGGGAGAGATAGAGAAAGAGAGTAAGAGAGAAAATACCACAGAAGCCAGAACCGGTGTATGTGAAGATTGTTCAATGGTACTGATGGTGCTGTTGTCCTTCACATTGACAGACTTAGGGTAGGTAGTACGTCTGTTCAGATGCAAAATCCAATATCCTTTCACATATCTGGCCTTTTTAGACGAAATCGCTCTCTCAAACTCCGCATAATACTCAGAAATTATTCATTTACCGGCTGAGCATTTGAAAAGAATTGTGAATTAACAATAACTCGATAGTCGAGCAAAACCGTCCACTCTTCAACCCATGTCCCATGAAGAATTACAAAACATAAAGGGTTTTCCAATAAGAGGTGTTATGTTGATATTCAAAGAAGAATGGCTTTTTTTTAGATAAATGAACGGATGTTTATTTCAATGTAAAGAAGCAGATATGCCGGCCATCACTAGATCTTATGTCCTCAATAGCTTCCCGACTTCCAGCTGTGATGTCTTGAAGCGACGTTGGTCTGTTGACGTAGGCCTATCTTTCACTGGACCTCAAGTTACAAGATCTCAGTGGTTAATTGCGATTACGTCTTCGAGGGATATTACAGTCCGGAAACTTTTTACTTAAAAGATCGATGGTTTCGTTTTTTTATTGAAAGTAAACGTTTTCCAAATCAATACCATACAATTCCGGCCATAAAAATCATTAATCATCTCTCAATAAAGCAAACCATCCACCATAAGTGGTGTTCTAACCTCATTTTCAAAAAAGTATGGTCCAATGACTCCGACGGACCATACACCCTCTACCAAGCAGTTACACGTTGAGCATGGAGAGACCTTTCAGCAATAAATCTTGGATTTTTCGAACCTCAAATGCGACAGTTTTACTTATTATCGAGCTGGAGATGAACCATTCAGCGGGCTTTTTGAATGCTTCATTCCCTAGAAGACAGTCCTTGTTGGATTAAAGTCCAAATTCTTCCTTTTGGTCGCTGTAACTATTGACTTATGGTCGCTTCTTACGACAGCACTGCCTTAACACGGGTAAATTTTTGAACGCATGATTCATCAGCTATATTGGGCGGATCATTAGAATCAATAGTCCCGAATTTTCATAGCTTAATAACCCCCAAATCTAAACCTCTTCATTTTTACAATTCCACCACTTTTAACATCAGGTTCGTCCCGTCTATCCACTGGACACCCTATCAGATTATTACCTGGAATCTATACTTCCGTTTTAAAGGGTACATTTAGCATGATTCCTTTCTATACCATTTCTTCTAAGTTTAACTATATTTCCGGCACGTGGTTTGTCGTTTGATCTCACTTTAGCACAAGCAGTTTGCAGTTGTAAAAGGCATGCCGATAAATTGAGGAAAATCAGCGAGGTTGCATCTGGCCTAGCAAGTTCGATCGCCACACATTTTTCCTCGATGGCTGGATGAGCTGAGGGACTAACGTAAGAGATAGAGTCTGTTCTCTTTGGCAATCTTCTATATAGATCAACGGCAGTTCCAGACAATTTTAGCAGTTGGTACCTCCTCCGTTCTACCCCTCAGTTTCGCTCCCTCATCGATGTATATTTCCCAACTGCCAGCAGTTTGTTAGTATACTCTTTGCTGCTAGCTATATGTTTACTATTTGTGAGAGATTCCAATATTAGATTGGTCCATTGATTTGACTCTCTTCCATATGACTGCTGTCGTTTTCTTATCATTCTATCTACCCTTATCTAACTTGACCTTAATTCCAAGGCGGAACTTTGAAAATAGGAAAGTGTATTTGATCGTTAATACTGCCCGTTCCATCTTGAGATAACAGAGAGTTCACAACAGGCCGAAGAGTCCTTTGTATTACAGCATGTTCTGAGTAGAGATCTTCCTCTTCCTGCGTACAAAAGTTCCAAATTTCGAGTAAAAAAATCTAGCCAGCGTCTCTTGATTAGATGAACTTAATGAAAATCGTCGTATATCTCATACAGCTCATTGTTTCATGAGCGACCTGTAGAGTTTGATCTTGAATCGTCGAGAGCGAACATTACTTTTTAATCGCCTGTTCAGTTCGAACTCGATTTTGAGGTTGATATTGTTATTAGTGTTTAATGCTGACTAGACGTAATAACCTACTACTCGAACTGACTTCTAGTAGTGATGTAGGAACCCAAACCAATTGTGCTCTCTAGCAAGTTTGCGCTCTTGTGGAATTTTGCATTACTCTTTGTAACTCTGAAGGAGTCTGTGTCGAATGGGTAGAGAAGTCCTTCCCAACTCAAACGCAGCTGTATAAGTTTTGCAGAGATACCAATTTCAGTCAATGCAGCGTAAGGGCATCGATGGCCGCTTAGAAGCGACGAAGAAATGGTGTGTATAAATCTTCTACTAAAGGGTATTTCCCAAGATTTTAGCCCCCAAGTCTAAATTCACACTGATAAGATCCGATCAGTTAAATGTCGGTGGACTTTGTGCTTTCTGCAGTGCGCAATATATGACTTTACATGCGAGATTTTGAAGAGATTTCCTTTTAATGGTTCAAGCAGAGCACATTTGATTGAGTATCTATCAGTTAGTAGACCATCGACCCCGCCCGCTTTGTGGTTCTCCAGGTGAGCAATTGCAATTTAGACTTCAACACCTTCAGTGTAGGGAACGTTTTCGCCATTAAAAGGGGTTTCGGGTTTCACTTTTACTAGCATACAGCAAGCCGGAGATTGTTCGCTCCATGAAGATGGTGCCTCTCATTTGTAATTTCTTTGGACTAGTTTTTTATGTGGCTGGTCGCCAACCCAACGCAAAACTTGTGAATTTAAAAACAAAACTTGTTCCGAGTCGAGGCACCGACACGGCCGCACCGTCTTTTGCTCAATGTTTCGAGTCCCTTTAAGTAAAGGGAATTTTCGATTGTTCATTTCATTTGTGATTACAATAACAATAAGTATCCTTTGCCAAAAAGCGCTACTCAAAAGCTTTACTAAAAATTTCTACACATTTTGCAAATCCTCCACTCTTCTACCTCCTCCTCCGACTGTTGCCATAAAATCCGAATCTACAAAATACAATACGAAAAGTAACTCAACTTAAAGGATTATTGTGATGATGAAATTTTGTAGAAAAT